CAGGAAATGCAGTCCTTGATCTGTTTCTGCCAGCTGAGAAGCTGTTGCTCACAACCAAGGTGGGGAGGAGCATTTTGTGTCTGAAGATGCCACTTGTTTAGATGAGCTGCTCTCATTGTTACAAATCCTTTGATACTCTTTGTAACACAGTGATTACTTCTGCCTAAATTCTATTTCACATCCTGCCACTGTCAGATTGCAATGGCTTTGCTGGGTGTATCACCACCTGGGAGGAGAACAACAAGCTGCTGTTGTGGTGTAGCTGTGGGTGCTGTGACAGTGTGTCTGGAGGGTGCCTGCTGGGGCATGTGTGGTTTCGAAGGAACTGCTGGAGAGTGCTTGTCTGAAGCTCAGGGGTGGCTGTGTTGTAGTGGCAAGAGAGTGGTTATTTCAGAAAATCTCACAGGATGGAAAGACTTTCATGACAAATCAGGACTGCCTGAATGTCAGTCATAAAGAATTTATTGAACAGACTAACAAAGTCACGTTTCTTCTTGGGTTCTCCATTAGAACGTTGCAGAGAGTCCTCAGGGCTCCTTCACAGCTCTAAGAATCCCAGGAATACCTTGTGGAGCACAGACTGTAGCCTTTGCCAAAATCTACAGCTTGCTGAAGTCTCTGTTCACAGGCTGGTCCAAATCTTTGCAGGCAGTACTCTGTTGGAGGAAGTTTAGCCTCTTCATGTCTTGCCTTGTGTCCTTGCTTTGTGGAGTGTCCAGGGTGGGGTGTGGCCAGGTAGCTTGTCCACACGTTGCCAAGTGTTCATTCTTTTTCCACCACCTAAAGTCAAGCTCTCTTCTTCACTTGGCTGCTCCAGATGCAGAGGCTTGTCCTTTATGGGACTGAACGGAGTTTGGCCCCTTCCTACCTGTGTCACACTTACTCCTGTTAGTTTTACTGCAGCTCCGATCCTAAGACGAGGTGTTTATCTTGAACACAGTATGAATATAAACCCAGAAGTCCTCCTCTGCCTTCTGTGCTTTCCTGTGGGGGTTTCACCTTGGGCTGCTGCTTAGGTGGCCTTGTTTGTGTTCTGTCCATGGCTTAATCTGTTGCATCTACTGAAGGCTGAACTGCAGGGGCACGTGAGGCCCTGAATGTGCTCTGCTCAATTAGGTCTGTAAAGCATTATTTATTACTATTATTTTTTTTTCAAAGTGGGTCAAGCCGTTTTGGCATTTCAGGCGTTTATTCCTGGTTCAATTGTAGGCCTTGGTCACTATGGCAACTGCAGAAAGCGTTCGTCATGGCTGTGCCTTGGGTTGGATTCAAACTTCAGGGGCTGAGCAGGAGCAGCGAGAGCCTGGAGGGGCAGTGAGTGGGACAGAGCTGCAGGCTTGTGGGGTTTTGTGCCCATCCTCACTGTGGTAGAGGTGAAAGGCTAAATGAACAGACTTCTCATGTTTTTTTGGTGTTTATGCACCCATGGAGTCCTTCGTGTGAGAAAGATTTAGCATTGCTCAGTCCTCAGATAGTCTGAGGTGGACTCAGACCTCCTGAGTCTGATCAGCTCTCTGCCACTGACTTAAGGGAGAGCCTAAGAAGGCTCCCTTGAAGATATCATTTCCCCCCTCTCTCTGCAAAGGTGATGATCCGTCATTACTTAACACAATATACATGGATGGATTTAGTTTTTCAAAGCATGCTAGAGATGCCAAGTGACTGGAAAACAAACTGGGGGCCAGAGTCTGCCTGAGACTGTGCTTGGCAGAGCTGGCATCAAAACGTAGGGCTATGGTAGTGTGACCCGAGCCTGGGCAAACATATCCATGCCTGCTGGAAGCTAGTTAGTGCTGATGTTGCTCCTCTGTGGCTGCAGGAGTGTGGTTTACTTGGCCCTGACTAAAAAACCCACCTGAGGTGCTGTTTAAGACCTCAGGTGATGAGCTTGGTTTGGCCTGCACACTGAGCCAGTTCTGGAGCACGTGTGTGCTTAGAGTGTGAAAACTGAGAACAAATCTGTGAGTGAGTTTATACCGGGACTAGTATTAATATATTTATGGCAGTCTGCAAAAGGGGAAATTTCTGTCATTTCTTTTTTTGAGTACAAGTTCAGTAACAGTACCAAACTTTTTAGCAGATTCCACTCGAGTTTCAGAGGCACATGGCACAGCTGTGTCCTGGTTTTGAACTGGTTACTTTGTGCTTAACTTTAGAAGCTGTAAAAACTCTCTACTCCTTTGGAACTGTAACCTGAAAGCAAGCAGAACCTTGCCTGAATTTGATTTGGTCTTTATAGAGAGGCTTGATGCTGAAACTCAAAAGTGAAACTGAGGGGTATGGACTCATATGAACTGAAAATGAGAAGGGGGCTGTGCATGAAACTCGGGTTGTGTTGAGCTGTGGGACAAACCTGGGTACATCTGTTCAAACAAATGAAGTGCAGTGGTATGTGACTTGGGAACACTGGCTTCACATTCTCACCTTGTGTTTCTGGAGACCTCTGGCATAAACCAGTTTGTGTTGAATCAAGCATGCTGGGGGCAAGATTTAGGACATTTATAAGCAATAACACAGCACGAGCAGCAGTGATGCTGCTCTTAATCATAGGAATGGCAATTCAAAACCATTTCCATTTCTGGGAGCATTGCTGGGAAACTTCAGATCTGAATACCATTTGCCCAGCACCTTCTGCACATGTGTGGCTGACAGCAACATGTACATTAGGTGCAACTGAAGAGCTGTGCACAGCTTGGGCTTAGCCGGAAGTAGCAGCAGGGGAACAAAAAATGTGAAATACCCACTTTAACTGGATCAGCTGAAAGGCTGTGAAGAAACAGACTTGGCAGTGGGAGGAGTCCCCACCCATGCACAGGGGTTGGAACTAGATGTTCTTTAAAGGTCCCTTTCCAACCCAAACCATTCTATGAAACCCATTACTTTTGTACATTTCAATAAGCTAAGAATGCCATAATAATTTTACCTGGTGATGCCCACAAACTGTTGCAGGCAGTACTGCTGGGGAGATGCTCCAGGTCTTTTGCTCAGTCTTTTGCTTGGTTTCAAAAGTGATTTGGGAGGGATTAAAGCTTGGTCAATGCTGCAGTTGTGCTGTACATGTAGTTAGTATTGAGTACACTTGTGTCTTGCCCAGGGAAGGGAGGATGCAGAGTGCTCTTGGTGTGTTTCACTCCTGAGATGTGCCATTCTTAGGGGTGGCCTGTGAAGAAGCAGCTAAGGGGGTAATTACTCTGCTGGTCTTCACACTGGAGCTAACTTGGGGTTCATGTGGCATTGGAGCAAGCAGCTTTTTATTATTCTATATCTCTGTGATTCTCAGTCTGTTAAGTAGAAATAAGTATCAGAGTGTGTAATTTAATCCATCTTTCTTCCTGCTTACAGAGCATTTTGTAAACCCTTTTTCTCTAGCCTGTTCATTATCCAGATGAATTTCCACACTTTATGTTCTTGAAAATATACTCTAAGAGTTTTCTGCAAAGTGCCATCTCATTGTTCTTGTCAGTTGCAAGCTCCTTGTGTGCCTGAGTGTGACATTCAATTCTGTTAATATTTATATAAGCAACTTTGTTGTGTGCTTTCTGCAAATTGTTTCAGGAAAGTTTCATCACTTGTGTGTTGACACATACAGTGAGCAAATAGAGGATAATTTCTGAGACCAGTTCATCCAGTACTAAACCAAAGCAAACTAATCCTGATTAGGAGGGGTGTATTATATTATCTACCCATATCTGCTAACATTTATAAAATGATTTTTGTATCTTCAGATCTAAGAGGTGCATGTGATTTTTATTTGAGAATTAATGAGGCTCAGGCACGTGTTCAGCTTTCCAGAAATGAAATGATCCATTTTAAGTACCTCACTGTACATCCGATATTAAGAAGCAAACTTCAGTTGGCTATATATAATTACATCTTAAGAGTTTGACTGCACTGGCTTCTTTAATTCAATACCTTTCAGTTGTCATTCCCTCATCCTTCTTCTGTTGCCTGCTCTTCTGTTGCTCATATGGGACCTGTCTAATGCCCAGAACAGGGTACAACTCAGCATGACCAAGCTGATCCTTCCTCAGCCCAGGTCCCAGTGTAACCTGCAGGTTGCAGAGTTGACCAGTACCAGCTGGACAGGCCTTGGAGATGTTTGGGCTGGTCATAAATGAATTTGAGTGCTGAAGGAAATGAGTTACATGGGGGGAAATGAATGTAGTGTGTGGGATTCTGAGGAGTCTGGCAGGAAGAAGAGGCATCAAAAGAGAAGGAACAGTGAGGAAATCTGGGTTTTCCTGTGCTGTATAAATATGTATTTAGGTGTTAGGCCATTTGCTGAAAATATGGGCTGAGAGGTTCCATTCCCCCAAATGTTTCATAATTTCCATAAAACTCTTTAAGGTCTTGGTTTTCCCCATTCTGAAAGGGAAATTTCTTTTTTTATCTCATGAAAGTATTGATGCTATATCAAAACATTTTTATGCCCAACTCTTAACTGGTGTGGGAAAGGATGATTTGACACAGGAAATCGTGACTGCATTGTCTGTCACCATGACTCCCTCCCAGTGCCCCAGCTTTTTTGATGATCTTTGATGGAGTATTTCCTAAAAAATATTATTCCATTTTTGTGCTTCCTGTTGAGAAGAGTTACACTTGGTGAAATAAAACAAAGGAGGGACAGAGTGGGACTGTGTGGAGAACACTCTTGACTTCTTCCTCATTCTTGAGCTCAAGTTTAGGGTTTCTAAGCTCAGGCTGTCATTTTAATCTCTCAGAGCAGCCAGGAGAGAATGAGTTCATTCTCGTAGGCATTTATCTGCGGAGAGATGAGTTGAAGAGTGGGTGGAGAGAGACACCAGCAGACCCTTGTCAGTCCCTCTGCCACTGCTAGGGGAGAACTGCCTGATTTTACAAGTGTGGCATGGGGTGCTTTGCTTCAGGAAGCCTGATGTGTCTGCTGTGCTAGTGCAGAATCCCAGGAGTGATGCTGTCCCTCCAGGCTCCAGCGGGACCTGCCCACTAACCTGCTGTCTCTCTCTCCCTGCAGCACTGCCAGTAACTCCAACCGCAGCACGCCCGCCTGCTCCCCCATCCTGCGCAAGCGCTCCCGCTCCCCGACCCCGCAGGACCCCCAGGGAGACACGATGGTGGAGAAGGGCTCCGACCACTCCTCAGACAAATCCCCCTCCACGCCGGAGCAGGGGGTGCAGCGCAGCTGTTCCTCCCAGTCAGGCCGCAGCGGCGCCAAGAACTCCAAGGTGAGGAGCCAGCAAATGGCTTTGGGCAAGAGGTGCACGTGTGCCCAGCTCCGAACTCTCTAACTGTGACTCTGCCTTGGCTCTCTGCCTTTTTTTTTCCCCTCTGGCTAACTCCTTAATCCTCCCCAGTCCTACTGCTGAAATTTCCTCTCACTGGAGCCAGGTCGTAGGCTGTTCTTTGGCTCCTTCCAGCAGCCTGAGGCCGTGAGCTGCTGATGGCTGGTCCTACAGCTCCACGAGGGCTGGTCCTGCAGCTCCACGAGAGCTGGTCCTGCAGCTCCACAAGGGCTGGTGCAGGCTCAGCTTTTGGCAGGCAAGACCCTGTTGCCTTGGGAGGTTCTGTGGCTTTGAGAAACACCTTGGCAATCAGCTGTGGCAGTTGATTTTTTAGCATCTGGATCATGAAGGGTTATGGAGCAGCCAGCCTGTGAAGGACTCATGCACTTCTCCAGTCCTGTCTAAGCCCTGAGTTGAGATGAGGTTCAAGGTGTACAGAATGAGTTTGCCAGTCCTCTGCATGTTGCCTCCAGTCGGTACAATATTGTGACCACCTTGGCCAAGGTAGATGATATTTTTCCCTAGAAAGGTATTTTGGCTTTTGACCACATTAGAAACAGCCTTGTCTTTGCTGAGGAAGACCCTTCTGAGGAACAGGGTTTCAGGTTTGGGGACTCTTGTTTCTCTGTGAGCAGTGGGACCTGGTGAGACAGACATGAGGGTCTTGAGAGCCAAACATGCCCTTTGAACATAACCCTGCTGTCAGTGGTGTAGTAGAAGCTGTCAGGAGCCACTTGTGGTGCTCCAGATTTTTGAAGTGAAGTATTTTGAAGTGAAGTATTTTGAAGTGCCACAGGCATAATTCTGATGGCTTGTGTGAAATGAGTTGTTAGATCTTTGCCTGATTTATTGCTGAAAGAATTCTTCATCCCCTCCCCTTTGTGGCCTCTGTCAGCATAGGAAGCAGGATTCACTGGTCCACGTTCACTGGGCTGAACAGATCCCTCACCACTAAGGGGGGAGTATGTGAGTTCAAACGAGAGGTTGAGGGGTTTTTTGAGATGAATCATTTGAGATCTGTCAGTTCTGAGGTTGCCATTGAGGTCAGAAGTTCTTCCTGTTCACGCAGTGACCTACAAACGCTGCCCCAGGGCAACAGAGCTGGGTGACACCCTCAGGGGTGATGGTGCCAGCAGTCTGTCCCCAAAAGAAAGCCAAGCAGATGAGGACAGGCAGGATTCAGGGCACCCTGTGTTTGTAGCCATGCTGGGGACCCTCTGCCAGGGAAATGGTGTCCTTGGTCAGGGGGAATTACAGAGATGGGTTGCATTGCCCTGGCCCACAACGTGCTGTGCTTTAAGGCTACGGAAGTGTGATCTTTACCAACATAGTGACTACTGTAGCTTGACTTTAATTCCTGGTGCTTTTCATGAGGAATGGGGGGGGGGATATAATGCTTTCTGTTGGGTTTGGGGGTTTTCCTTCTCTTGACCTGCCAGGTAATTTTTCTTCTTTCCTTAATTTCTCTCTCTTCATTCCTGCATGCTCTCTCTCCGATTAAGTCACACAAGCGCCTCTCCAAAGTAAGCCTTCTTTTTTCTCTCCTGTCCCCCACTGTAGAATTGTCCCACCACTCAGAAACCCTCCCCATGGTGCTGAGTGGTGATCCCAGCAAGGCATTCTCCTGGTGCAGCTCTGAGAATGTCAGCAAGAGCCCAGTCCCATGCCTGTAGCTGAGAAGCTGGTTTCACTTCTATCACTGGCATCTTATTAATATTTGCTCACATGGTGTGAGAACTGGCCCGTTCATCACACTCCTTCAATTACTTCCATCCAATTTTAGTCCTTGTTTTAAGGTTTGCTTTCCCTCCCCCTTGATGTGAGCTGCTGCCTTTGCAGGGATAAATCTGCTGGCTTTGGTAGGCTGATCAGTTCCCAAACCCCTTCTCTTCCCTCTCTTCTTTATGCCTTTCATCAACAAGAGTTGTTCATCATCACTTCTTGCCTGCTTTTTATGATGAATAGTAGCCTGGTGGCCAGTGATCCCAGCTTCCTACCCTGCACGCTGCCCTGTGTGATGTAAATATTAAAGATCAGTGATTTCAAATGAACCCAGCTTAAACCTGTTAGAACAGACCTGTCCTACATGAATTGTGAGAATTCATGGGCTCGCTTTGAAAGTCTGAAGGAGATCCCCCTGTGGGTGCTTGGATTGGAGATAAGCTCCTCTGAGGTTGGATCTCAAGTCTCTCTGCTACCTTCAGAAGAGTGGACACCTCAGAAATGCAGATGGGATGCTTTTTGGGACAGAGTGCCAGGCTGCTGGCATTTCCACATGCGTACACGTAAGGTTAACACCAGAATGGCTTGGGTGGCTTCATAATCCATGAAATCAATACCTTGACCTTTCCCTGGGTGATGTTTTAGATTTAGTTCTAGACAAGTTCTCAGGGAGCTTTTTAATATGCAGTGTTGGCTTTTTTCCTTGGTCATAATGACTCTTGTAACCAGCCTGAACTTCCATGATTGCTGCTGTCTGCTGGAAGCTTACTTATGTCTTTGTTTAGACAGATTGTCTTTTGCTTGGTAACTGTAGCTTGGGTACAGAGAAGGTCTGTGGGCCTGATGTCTCAGGTGAGGTGAGAAAGGAGTCCTATGGAAAATGCAGGTCTGGAGTAGCAGAGAGTCCTGAAAGGGCTGCTGGTGAGTGGAGGTGTGTGGGTCAGGGCAGGTGACAGCTGGGCTTGGAAGGGCTTGACCTAAGCTGTGGAGAGCTTCTTGAGGAGAGGAACTGGTGGGAAGAACATTGGTAGACAGGGATGTGTGTGTAAAATGTATGTGCAGTGGTCCTGAGGAGTCCGGGCAGCCAGCCCCTTGCTTTTCTGAGAGACAAAAGCCAACAACTCTTAAGAAAACTGGAGAAGCAAGAGGGCAGTGCAGCTCAGATGGGTTCCAGTGTGTGGAGCAGGGGGAGAGGATCCTGGCTGTGACCTCCACCAGCCCTGCTACCCCACAGCCTGTGCACGGGGGGAGCCTAAAGCACCGTGAAGGCTCAACTTCTTCTCCGTGCTCCACAGGTGACTTTCTCTGGTACACGTGAGGTATCTCAGGCATTATCAGCCCCAGTTCTCCCCATACAGATGGTGATGGTGTCTGCTCAAGACAGGGAGAGGTTAGGAACAAAGAACTTAAGCACGAAGATTTAAAAATCTCCTTTCTCAGCCTCTTCTCCTCTCCCCACCTGTCTTCTGCAAGACAGATGGTCTCATTTTCCAACCTGTCTCGCTAATGAAATGGAGCAGCTTGAGCCCATGAGTTTGATGCTGTGTTTGTACAATCGCTGACAGATCTGCTTGAAGTCCCTTTGCCCCCTTCCCTGTTGTGTTCCTTGCCGTGCTGCAGTGTTGCCATCAGAGGGAGCGCTTCACCAGGAGTTTTTAAGCACTGGGTTTCACCTGGAAGAAACCGCTTTTGGAGCTTCCTTTCTCCTGCTGCCCACCAGTGGGGCATGGACTGAACCACCCATGGACCTGTGTCAGCCTTAAGCTTTTACTGGAAAACACTGCTGCTTCTGGAACAGCTTTCTGAACTCAGAAAAAAACCCCACCAAAACCCACCCTTTTTGCTGGCAGCCAACAATGAAATATGTGCTTTTAACTCTTTTGCTCTTGCCCAAGGATAAAAGTTATTTCCTCTCCCTTGCAAACCCTTCCCACTGTCTTTAACTGATAATCAACTCTGAGGATACATTCAGGTTAGGGGAAAAGGTGAATTTTGAGGTAGACCCTGGAGACTGTAGAACAGTTGAGGGCAGAAGGGACCTCAGCAGGTCTTTAGTCCAAGCCCCTGCTCCAAGCAGGGCTGGTGTGGTTAGATCAGGTTGCTCTGAAGTCTTCACCAGCCACATTTTGCAATCCTCTAGGCATGGGGATCTCACAGCCTTGTCAAATCCCTGCTCCAGTGCTTAACCACTCCTGCTGTGAACAGGCTTTTTTCTTCTAACCCAAGACAATTTCCCTTACTGCAGCTTCTGACTGTTGCACCTTGTCCCTCCAGTGTGCTACTGTGAGAAGGGCTTGGCTGTGTCTGCTCATTTACCTGTCCCACTGGATGGTATAGCTCTCCTTTAGGTAGTAGGTCATGAAAGTCTGGTTGTTTCATATGGGGGTGAGGGGTCTGGGAAGAAATTTCATCAGTTATTTGGCCATGAGCATCCAGAAGCCAGGTGACCAGCATGGGTTTGGGAAGTACACAGGTCAGGAGAAGGGGCTCTGGCATCCCTTCTGAGCTCTGCCCTCACCTTGGTCCTGTGCCTCTATTTCCCCCATTGTAAAATAGACTTAAGGGTATTTCTAGAGCTCTGTGGCATGTTCTTCACTTGGCAAAAGGTTTCCACTCCCCTGGAAGCAGTAATGTGTAGGAGTGAGCTGTGATCCTGCTCCCAGGAATGCTGAAAGGTGGGAAATTCTGTGGCCCATCAGGTTAGCAGTGACCCACTGCTTCCCACCTGCACTGGAAAGCTGCAACCTTCCACAGCAGGGTGTGCAGCTGTGAGATCATTAGCCCATGCAGATTTAGAGGCAACACCATTATTAATTACAGGCTCTGAGAAAACAAACAAACATTTTTCACCTTCCTCAAGTTCTCCTAAGTTCTTCCTGCTTTCAGCCACCATGTAATTGTGAGCTCTGGTATCTGCTCCTGTAGTATTTCCTCTGCAAATCAGTTACCTCTTTTCCACTTCTGTGTGCTGCTCCATTCCTCTGTTACTTATTTATTTTCTCTTTTCAGTTCTAATGCTTATGGTTTCTTTTTCCAGTATGACAGACTTAACCTGCTCAAAGTAAGAATATGTTTTTCCTTTTTCTTTCTTTCCTCCCTCCATTAAACTATCTCTTCATTTTCACTGTTTGCATCCCCCTATTTTCTGATTCTCAGTGAGTTAAAAAAATAAAGGGTCAATAAAATTGAAGAGAGGCTTAAGGACTCAGTCCCCATTCCTTGGGGACTTCCTGCAGTCTGTTGTCCCTGCAAAAGAGGGGACTGGGACAAGCAATCTCCTCATGCTTAGAATACTTGGTGGAGGCAAAAGCTGAGGTGTAGGTGTCAGCAGAGTTGTGTGGAGGAGCCTAAGGAAGGAGGAGCTGCAGAGCTGTGCTACAGAGGAGCTGTGATCTGAGGAAATTCAAATGTAAGGGGGGAAAAAAAAGAGTTAAATGCGATTAATGCAGCAGAGGGGAATGAAATCCCAGCACAGTGTGCTGACATCACACCATGTGCACCCTGATTTAGCAGCACAGTCGCAGCAATGCTTCTGTTTGGTCTGTGCCAATTATAGGTTGATTATGATTGTTTTTTTTCCCCAGGAATTTGAGTTATGCCTTTTGCTCATTAAGGCAGACAGATGGCAAAACAAATCTGCAGGAAAATCACTTCATCTTTAACTCTGTGCTCCTGAGCACAAGGTGGTGTGTACAAGGATTAAGATTAATTGCCCTGATTTTGTTTAGTATAGGCTGAATTGCATAAGGCCTTTTCCATGTCCTACTTCCAGAGAAGGATGACTTCAACCAGACCCTTTATGAATGGAGGGTATGGCCAGGTATGGAAAAGTGTAGGAAGTAAGAGGAAATTCCTCTGGTGAGTTGATGAGCCATACTGTGTATTCAGTTCATATCCTTTCCCCAGGATTTGGGGAAGGGCCTTAGTGGTGTTTTACCTTTTCATGTGAAACGTTTGTATTTTGGCCTGTGGCATGTGCTGTTCTTGGGGGTTTTTGTCAGAGACCAATGCAGAGAAACTGGCAGAAATGCCCAAGATTGCAAGGGATCCTTCAGAAACGTTGGCTCTGTGAAGGAGATTCAGGTGCCAGGAAGGCTGTTTACTGGAGTGGTGGCATATAAGGAGCACAGGAGATGGAGAGCAGGGAGCTCTAGGGAAGGACATTGGGAGTAGCCCCATGTCTTCATAGAAAACCCTGGTCCAACCTGATCTCATGGATACTTTGCACTTACTTTTCTCTTCTAAACATCCTGCACACTGGTCGTGTTGTGGGCTACCCCCATGCAGGTAGTGTTTGTGTTTCTGTGAGTGTGAACTTAACTGGCTGAGGGGAATTTCCCCAGGTTCTGCTTCACGTTGGAGAACACTCAGTTCTCCTTCATATTCCAGACTGAGTATAAAGCTATGAAGAATATCCCCAGTGCAAGGTCAGAAGCAGGATGACCTCAAAGAAAGAAATGCAGTGCAGTATTGCTTCTGTCCTTGTCACCATGAGACACAACTCCCTCAAGTGCCAGTGCTGGGGGCAACTGTGTGTGGCTGCCACACAACGTGTCCAGCAACAGGCACTGTCAGAGGTGCAAGGCTGCAGTGCCCCAAGCTTCACTGCCCCCAGGTAAATCCCCACCCTACAATGGGGAAATGCCTCTACTTCCAGTTCTGCTCAGTGCTCTGACATTGGAAAGGCAGCCTGGCTGGTGTGGGAGTGTGAAGCTTATTTCTTCCTCTCCCTGTGCAGATAATTCTCACCTCCAGCTGAAAATTGCCAAGTGTGACTTTGCAAGCTGAGCTGGCTTTTCCATATGCTTCAGTGTGACATGTGGCCTGTCCTCTCAAACCATCTGAAATGCCATGATAAGGACAAAACAAATCACATGTGCAGATGATGTAAAACACTGTGGACTGAAATTCTGAAAAAAACCCCAACGACCCAGCTTTTCATTTTTTTCCTTAGGTTTCTAGTGATTTTTTTTCAGCAGTTTTCCTGGCTCTAGAATTGTCTCCCTTTGAAAATTCAAAACCTTATTGAAAGTTTAGCCTGATGGCTTGTGAGTAAAATTGTGTCCCTGCCTCCTGGTGCTTCCTCGAGGGTCCATTGGACACAATGTGATTTTTGCAACCCAGCCAGCAGACCTGGGAGGCTGAGAAGCCTCTGGCAGCAGGGGCTGGCAGTGTGTGCTGAGCTCCCCTGGCTGGTGGGTGCTGCTGAGCTGCAGGATTGCAGCATGGGGGGGTATGCATGGGGACATGCACACCTCAGCCTGAATCGTTTCCTGTTGTTCCTGTTGCTTCTGGATTTGTTCTTTGTTCCTGGATCTGGAAATAACTCTGTTAAACCATACTATGAAAACCTTTGAAATCTTCTGTTCAATCCCACTTTCACTTTGCTAATGATACAAACCAGATTGCACCTAATTTGTCCATCTTTCTTTTTGATCCTAAGATCTCTGTGCTGACTAATCCTTCTCTTTTATTTTGTCCTTACAGAAAAGCCAGAGTTGGTATAATGTAAGTACTCCAGTTTCTCTTGTCCCTGGGTGAATATGGGCTGGGACCTGGGTGGGGGGAAGGTGCAAAGGGGCTTTGCAGTGGCATTGGAACATGCTGAGCATTTCCAAAGAGAGGAGATGGAAATGGCTCAGAACTGGCAAAGGAGGACTGACATCCTGAGGACGTGGCATGAGGATGCCACAGAGAGCAAAGGCTGTGTCTTTGCAGTTGCTCTTCTGCTGAGCTCCACATCCTGTGTCCCAACAGGGTTGGTCTTGATGTGGTCACCAACACAGCTGCCACCGTGCAAACCCTTTGCATCTCTCAGGGTGCTGTGGGGAGAGATTTTCTGTTGTCCTCACCAACCATCTTTTGCTTCTGCCTTAAGCTTACTTCTGTTTTGCAAGCACGAGTGGCAGTGGTTTTGGTACAAAAGCAGTGGTGGCCACATTTCCACAACTGGTGTCACCTTTGCACAGTTGAATCCCCACCCCTGAAGCACTCTAATGTAGATACCAGCAGCACCTTGATATTGTAGGCAAAGGCAGCAGCCATTCCATGGTCAGCAACAGGTCCTACTTTCCTGCAGCCTGAGACACTAGAACCAGTGACCCAGAGTGGTTGGATGGACAGAGGCATGAGAGGCAGATTTATTGCCTTGCTGAGTGTCATCAGCACTAGGAGAGTAGTAAGGACAGGAAAAGAGATCATCTCAGAAGCAGAGAGAAGCACAGAGGCAATGGCATTGAGCTTGAAGGATAAACCATGGCAGTCCTTCCTGGTGGGGTCATGGCAGGAGGAGAAACAAGGAGTGAGGCAGTTTGGGCAGGTGCACAGGCCCAACCAGGCTGCTGGGATCTGTGCCCGTGGCTGAAGGTGACTTTTGCTATTACTCAAGAGCTGCTTTTGACTGTAGCTGCTGAGGCCCATCCCCTGCTGCATGGTGCTTTGCTGTGGTCTGCTCTTGTGGGTCTCTTGTGTTTTCATGTCCTCTCTATCTTATCTTTCTGTTCTCTTGTTTTTCCTCCATATATTTTCAGCATGAGAGACAGTACATCCGGAGAGTAAGCACTGGCTGCATTTTTTGTGGTTTCCCCCCCAATTATTTTCCTTTAGAAAGCAAAACAAAACCATGTTCTAGTTGGTAGAGACATTCTGGTCAGATAAAAGCAGCAATGTGGAAATACAGATTGGCCACAAACTGCAGGAAAGCAGTCAATTCTACTTGGCACTATTACTGGCATTAAAAATTTGCTAATGTGTCTCCTTGATATTATTTCCCTTCCTTGCCAACTCCCTTCAGGCAGCATTTTTCTGGCATTTGGATCATTCTGATTCTTCTCTTCCTTTCCCCACAGAGAGCAGCTGTAGAAATTCATCTGTGGAGGCTGCCCCTTCATGAAGCCTTACAATTTCCTTTACTCACTTCCCTCATTTTCATTTCCCTATGCTCAGAGCAAACACCCTCCACATTGTTCTTTGTGTCAGTTCAGCAGCCCCGGGTGCCAGGCACTGCCCAGACACACACCAAAAATACAGCCCTTGCTTCAAAGAGCACACGGGCCTCAGAGATCCTCAGAACATCACTGGTCAGAGTGCCACTTTTCTAAGATGACTTCAGCTTTTGCTGCTTTTAACTGGTCTTTTTGTCCTTCTAGCACTGTATCTTTGCCAGTTGGAACCCCTCCTTTTCCCACTCCTGGATTCCTTTTTCTCTACTTTTTCCTTAAGGTGCTACCAACTTCTCTCACCTTTTGGCTTCTCCTTTTGATCCTACCAGTGCTTTTTTGGGATTGACATCCCTACCAGATTGAGAAGTGGGAGAAAAGAGGTGACCCAAGGCTGTGGATTGATTTGGCAGGAGACTTGCCCTTTCTGGCTCTTGGTGTGCTTTCTCTGCTTTGCTTTCCAGAGGACAAATGCAAACTGGTCCTGAGGCACCATGAGATTTCAAAAAGAACACCCATTTGACAACAAATACCTTCAACCTTGCAGGGTTTGCTTTGTGTTCATGTCCCCATGGTGGAAGAGCAGACCATGACTGGGCTGGCTGAGTTCACCAGCAGCAGAAAGAAAAACTCCCTGGGGTGTTTCTCATGCCTTTAGTGAGGAGCTGCAGACGTGGGGAAGTTTGGAAGAACTTTTACTATGAAATGAAACTTGTGGGCAGCTGTGGTGTAGCCATCAGGAGGAGGAGGCAGTTTTACCTGTGTCTGCTTTGGACTTGGGTGTCTGCATGTTGAGTTATTGTTAATGGATTTATTGTTTAAAAACATATATTTATATATTTTTTTAAGACTAGACCTAAAAAACAAACTTTGTCCTTAATTTTGTTTACTGAAACAGACACACAACTTACTCTGCAGACCTGATGTGCTCACAGAGGTGGGAACTGTGTTTCACTTCCCTGATGACAGGGAGGTGGCACTGGCTGTGGGGGTGACAGGAGCCCCACGAGTTGGTAGAAGGAATTTTGTCACCCTGCAGACAACATTAAAATGAAAGACAAACTGGAGGCACTTTGCTGCCATGAGTAAAAGCTGTCTCCTGTCTTCTCCTTCCCTCTGGGCTGTGGGTGAAGGGCCCCATTTCTGAGCATGGAGGAGCTCTCAGGTTTGAGTCTTGAGATCAGCAAGATCCTGTGCACAAGGAGGTGGCTGCAAATCCACAGCTGAGAGTCTTGTGATGGTGCAAACAGCCTTTGTGGAGACCTTTGAGCAGCAATTGGAGCTTTTTAAGAGCAATGTCAAATGTTCACAGACTGAACACTCCAAAATCAGCTTTTGCTGGTCTCAGTGTGCTGTGTTTTTCTTGCAATGTCCTCTTGGAGACCTCGTAGATAGCAGTGGAGGGGGAAACTTGGTTGTTAGGAGTAAAATGTGCCCTGTGAAGAATAGAAAGTATGCATCATTTTAGGGACAACATCAGAAATGGTTTTCCAATGGGTGGCAGCCTGGGGCTGATTCAGCCAGAGCAATCATGGAAATGGAGTTTATTGCAAAAACCCAGGCCTGATGAGGAGTTAGCAAAGGTGCTGAATGAGCAGCCTTTTCCTGTGTAAATCAGTGCAATTGTCTTTTAAGTTCCAGTAACCACTTTATCAAACTATTTCTGGAGAAATGTCATTCAGGTATTTTTCACAGGCAATTCTGTTCAGAGAATTGGATTGGATACACTCTTCCTTCCCCTTTTTCTCTCTGCCTCTTGCCGTTGTCATCTCTCCTCACCTGTTTCTGTGTCCTGTGCTATCTCTTGTCTGTACTTCCCTGTCCCAATCCCAATCCCATCCCAGCAATTTAATTGCTTTAAATTTCCTGTCAGAGGATTTGTTTGTGCATTAACAGGGAGATCCAACCCTGGGGAGTGTCCCTTCTCTCCCCATTCCCCCAGGGAGCCTCTTCTCTCCACCCTTTGCAGTGACATCCTGTCCTGTCTCTCTCTGTTTGCAGAAGGGTTAATGTTTGCTGTCTCCACCTCCAGGTTAGCTCTTCCCATCCCTTCTGCCATTCATCTCTGCAGAGGGAGGCAGGTGGATGTGTGACAGCAGCATCCTGCTGGGGTTTGTTTTGGAAATAATCCCATAAGGAGTTTTCAGCAAAAAGGGCCATTCAGTAAAGCAATGAGGTGCCTCACACAATCCTCATTCTTTGTCCTTCCCAGACTGCAGAAATTTTGCCTCTTGTCCTCTCATCTTGGGGTGGCAGATGGATGTGCTGGTGCCTTCCAGCAGGGCAGGAGGGAGAGCTGTGTGCTGTCTAGCACCAGCAGTGCTTTTGTAGTGCATCTGAGCTTGCCAGTTGCTCCTGTCAGTGAGCAAACTGGAGTCACTGGCTCTGCAATGGAGCAAGTCTTTGCACAGGCTTGGTTGGTGGTTTTTAGGTTTTGATTGGTTGGGTTTGGTTTTGTTCTGGTTTTTTGTTGGGGTTTTTTTGTGGTTTTTTTTGAGATCTGTGTGCCCAGTTTTTTAGGAAGAATGAGGATTTTATTTAATTTCAGTCTATGTGCTTCCACAGACTCCACATGGTGGCTGAGCAGTACTGGGGTTGTGGTGTGGGTGTTTATCTGTGCATCTTGACACTTGAGCAGAGAGATGGAGCAGCTGGGGACTAAGGACAGGGGATACAGGGAGTTGAAGTGCACCAAGGAATCTTCCTGGGAGCTGCAGGAAGTTCCTCTGCTGCAGCCTGAAGGAAGCCCTCGCCTGTCACTAAAACCTAGAAGACCTGTGTTTTTGAGGGGGTCTCAGAGCAGCAGCAGAGCCCTTAAGATTTCCAAAGGTGTGGGTCTCCCATGGCTGATACCTCTTACCTCTGCTCTTTGGACTGGTCCCTCCTCACGCCTCCCCCAGCACACCCTGTCCAGCAACTTTCCATTACAGGAAACATCTGCTGGGAGGCAGGGCTGGGTTACTGCAGGGCATTGGCCGCCAGGATCCCCCAGCTACAGGGACTTCAGGCATGTGCAAGTCATTTTGGTGACTTCTCCTTCCATGAGAAAGGTTAACAAAGACTGAAGCTGCCTGCAGAGGGGGACTAGAGAGGAGAACCTGAGGCAGGCATCGAAGGAGTAAGAATCACTGCTTTCCTGGTTTCAAAGGGGAAAAAAAACCAAACAGCTGAAGTCTCTGAGCTGTTTACTGCCCTGTTCAGTGCTGGAAACCGTGGCTAGATCTGTGACTGACGGCTGGAGTGCTGGGGTCCTGGTGGTGGGAGCTGTTCCAGTGGCAGCTCTGGCAGTGCTGGGCACTGGGGCTCAGTCAGGGGCTGCAGCTGCTTTGCAGTGCCCTGCCTGGGGCTGCCCAGCCTGTCAGCACTTCTGCAGAGCTGCTTTAGGGGTGCCCACAGCAAGAGCCTGGGGACAGGGAGCAGAGGAGCACAAAGGTTGCCTGCCAGCACTTCCCCTAATGAGCAGCTTTTTCAGAGCCCTCTGGAGGGCAAACCCTCTCTCAGATCTGCAGAGGCTGCTAGGACAGACAACCTGAATGTGAGCAGGGAAGCAGGGGAAGGCACATAAACTCCTGCCAAGCTGCTGTATCTCTTTCGACTTTGAATCTAAACAAGAAGCAGTGACAGCAGGAACAGGAAAAGCAGAGTTAGACTGAGAGCACAGGGAGCTGTGCAAGTGCTGGGGGAACGCGATGGATTCCTTGCTGGAGTGCGGGGCTCTCTGGGATCTTGTGCTGGATCAAGAACTGCCACGTCTGCTGTGGGACCTGGAGGGGCTTGTTGACTTGTCCCAAGAAAATGTCAGCCATGGATCAGATGAAATTCCAGCTGTGAGTGTCTCTGAACTGAACTGTTTGTCACGGTAACAGAAGTTCTGGTGCTGAGCAGAAGTGTCTGCTGTGGCACAGGTTTCAGACAGGTCAGAACACCCCTTAGTGTGGGGAGGGGAATCACTCCTCTAGCTGGAGACTGTCCTGCTGGGCTGGGTGGCTGTGATGCATTGAACCCAAAGCCCAGAGCTTCTTATAATCTCTCTTCCCCTCCCGCTTTCCCATGCTGTTTCAGCAAATCCTGGCCTTGGGCTCTTGCTGCAGCCCATCTATGGCCAAGATCTTTTCTAGATGTTGAGGCTAGACAATAGGTAAGTGAAATGCATATTTCTGCTATCTCTTGGTTAGCAGATTTTATTCAAAAGTAGGATACTTTCCTTTGGGCCCATGGACTGGAAAAAATTTTGGAAGTGCTGAGTTGATGCTAAAAAATGGTGTTTCTAGTTCCTTGAACTAATGTGAGGAAGAGGAAATGCTTTTTTGGGAGGTGGTGGTGTCTGTTTCCTTCTTTGATTTGATAGCATTTGACAATTTTGTAAGGTTAATGCTAAATAATGTTCCTGTTCCTCCCACCCCTGCAACCTCAGCACCACCACTTCTCATATAGAAGATACATTCTGTAATTCCTTAGATTTTTAGGGCCCTTGCTGGGAGGCTCTGGGGTGTGCCCACCTTTCTGCTTTGGGAGAGCTGGTAGAGACAGGAGAAGAGGAAATGGAGATAGGGAGGGAATAAGTGGTGCCTCAGGTTGCTTCACCTTCCCTACATTTGTTGGGGAAAGAACATGATGGATTTGATGACAGATAGAGGGCTTCCTGAATCTGCACCTGCCTCTATTTCAGTCCTCTCTGCCTTCAAAAGATGTTCTGGCTGTTGTGAGCAGGTGTCAGCGTGGGGATGGTGTGTAGGAGGTGGTCCAACATGGACAGCATTATGTTATAGTTTGGTAAACACCAGAGAAAAGCCAGCACCTGGTTTCCCTTCAGTCAACAGCAGGGTTTTCTCAGAGGCCTTCCAAGAGGAGGAAGTGTCTACAGAGAAAGTGCAGAACACATCTGAGTCACTGCAAGAGCCTCTGCTGAGCCCACCAAAGTGTTCTCACTCTACCCACGTGTGTGTGTGTGTTCACTGACTGCCAGGTGGAGCCTTTGGTGAGGATAGGAAGGGGGATGACTGCATAATTCCTGAGCTTTTGATGACAGAGATGGTTGAGGTTCCTCTGGCAGGGCTGCAGTTCTACTAACCCCTATTTTCTGGGGTTGCTGGGCTGTTCCTGGGGGAGCTGGGCAATCAGCAGCTGATTGACACATTGCAGACAGAGCACATGGCATCCCATGTGCAGCCTGGGATTGCAGGAAACAAGATTAGTCTTGTAGCCCCAGCAATTCCATTTTGGTACCTAGCAGATATGGTTACAGTCCTTCTACTCTGTACTTGCTCTTCCAAGTCAAATTCTCCTCTTCTTCTCACTTAATGCACTAAATCCCAAATCCTCCCCTCTGTGTGTCTGCTGTGATGGGAGCTCCCAGCCTCACGCTTTGTAAGCGCATCTGATCCCCCTTCTCCTTGCCAAGGTGTTCCCATTTCCCCACTCCATTTCTCTGCCCTCGTGCCTGCCCCTCTCTTGAACAGCCACTCTGTTCTCTGCAGGTGTTGAGTCCAACATACAAACAACGGAACGAGGATTTCAGGAAACTCTTCAAACAGCTGCCGGACACAGAGCGTCTCATCGTAGGTACGTCCAGCCCTTGGTGCTGTGCCCTGCTGTGCTGGTCCATGGCTTGGGGAGGAAATGCAGCACCTCTGCATGCATCTTTTTCTTCTTCAAAGAGATTGCCACCAAGGAACAAGCCCTTTGTGTGTGTCATGTGCACAGGCAGAAACCTCCTCACCACTTACAATGGTTCCCATAATTTTGGGGAAAGCGGCGCTGGTTTGTATCATCTGTGGCTCTGTTCCCTCATGATTTCAGGAGCATGTTTTCCTCCCCAGTGCTACCCAGACCTCCCAGTGCACTGCTGTTTGAGCTCTTTCCTTGTTGGTGGAAAGCTGGGGAGAGATTTTTTACGAGGACTTGTAGTGAGAGGACAAAGGGGAATGGATTAAAATGGGAGGAGGGAGATTGAGGTGAGACATGAGGAGGGAATTGTGGAGTGTGAGGGTGGTGAGAGCCTGGCCCAGGTTGCCCAGGGAAGCTGTGGCTGCCCCATCCCTGGCAGTGTTGAAGGGCAGGTTGGATGGGGCTTGGAGCAGCCTGGGCTGGTGGGAGGTATCCCTGCCCATGCAGGGGGTGGGACTGGATGATCTTCCAGGACCCTTCCAACCCAAACCCTTCTGTGATTCTATGGTTTGGTCAGGGTTGCACATCTCAACATGGATAGCACTGAGCTTCCCTTTTATCTAACACCCCTGAAGCTCCCTTCTCACACTTGACTGCCTTTCCATCTCCATTCAGTGACATCCTGGTGCTGCATCTGCTCTGCTCTCTTGTGTAACTGCTGATCTCATACGGCTGAAAGGTGCACATCCCAGCAGAGGGATAGAAATTGTTTAGGATGCTTGAACTGGAAGAGAAATTAACGCTGGCACTAGGAAGTGAAAAGACAGATTAACATCTGGAAATAGTACACAGGATGCTACAGAATGCTAATAAGGCAAGATCATCAGTCAGCAAGAGAGATTGTCTGTGACGTGCCCTGGGGACAAATCATAACCTGGTGGGCAGAGCAGCAGCTGTGGCTCAGCTCCTTCTGCCTCTGCCTTTGACTTTCTGCAGGACTGTGTCGAGCAGCTGCTTCTTTTGTTGCTGCTGCTCACCCTTAGGCTGTCCTGCCTTCTGGTTTGGGTGCTCCTCAATCAGTGGTGCCCAGTGACAGGACAAGGGGCAATGGGCACAAACTGGAGCACAGGAGGTTTGACCTGAATATGAGAAAATCCTTCTGGACTCTGAGGGTGGCAGAGCCCTGGGACAGGCTGCCCAGGGAGGCTGTGGAGTCTCCATCCCTGGGTACATTCAAACCTGGACGTGTTCCTGTGGGATCCGCTCTAGGGGATCCTGCTCTGGCAGGGGGGTTGGACTGGATGGTCTCCGGAGGTCCCTTCCAGCCCCCACCCCTCTGTGACCCTGTGAGTGATGACCTGCTGTCCCCCACAGATTACTCGTGCGCGCTCCAGAGGGACATTCTCCTGCAGGGCCGCCTCTACCTCTCTGAGAACTGGATCTGCTTCTACAGCAACATCTTCCGTTGGGAGACACTGGTGAGGCTGTCAGGCTGCTGCACTGAGCGTGTGTTTCGTGTCAGCAGATTTGCTGACATGTTTTTTTTTCTCTTTCCATTGTCTTTCTCATGAGTGTCTCTCTTCTCCTGTGTTCTTTTCCTGCCTGCCCCTCCCCGCACGGCCCTGCCTGCAGCTGACGGTTCGCTTGAAGGATATCTGCTCCATGACCAAGGAAAAAACAGCACGGCTCATTCCTAATGCCATCCAAGTTTGCACTGACACTGAAAAGGTACGTCCTTGAAGTCTCCACCTCTGGGGCCACCCCTTATGGCTGTGAGGGGCAGGGGAATACGTGTGGTGTGGGTTTTTTCCAAGATGACTCCTGGTGCTACCTGGGAGGAAGGGAGAAGGGCTGGGTGCAGAGCTTCTGCAGACCTTGGGCTGAGTCTGGGACATGTGTAGCTCCTTTGTGGGGCCAGGTAGAAGATCTGGGTTATCTAGTAGCACATCTCTAACAGAACTGTTTCTGTGCTCCCTTGGGTGAGAGGCACTCAGCTTCAGTCTGTGCCTAAGACCAGAGCAGCTGTGCTGTATGACTTGCTCAGCCTTTCTGTAGCTGGAAACTGATCCAAAAAGGCTTGTCTCTCCTCCTTCCCTTTTGTGGGCATTTTCTGAACTGATTTTTCTCTCCATCTCTTCCCATTCAGCACTTTTTTACTTCCTTTGGGGCTCGAGACAGGACGTACATGATGATGTTCAGACTCTGGCAGAATGCTCTCCTTGACAAGGTACAGAGACCAGCACCTCAGGTTTGGGGGGCTGAAAGAGAAGTGGGCAATGTCTGCAGAAACACACTGCCTGGGAGGGAGTGTGGGAATAAAAAGCTGTAGGGACAGTAAGCAGGTGCATGGGCAGAGCAGGTATGTAACTCCAGGTGCAATTCTCTCTCTTCACGTGGAATTAGGTTAATGGTTGGACTTGATCATCTTAAAGGTCTTTTCCAACCAAAACAAGTTTTATGATTCTATGAAGTCTGTCTATGTACAGACATGTCTGGCACACACAGTAGATGCCACTTGGCCTCTGCTGAGATGTGGAAGTGTCTCAGGAAGGAGAATTTTTTAGGTCTGTAATTCAAGTGAAGCAGCCCAGAAGCAACTGGTTTGAATGCAACAGAAATAGCTACTGCCCAGGGAAAGCTCTTGGTAACCTCTGCTTCTGCACTGTGGAGTTCAAGGTAGGACAGCATGTGTTGAAGGCATCTCAGAAGCTGAGGAGGACAGTGGTGGGTGGCTGTGGGGTGTGTTGGGTAAGGCTTAGGGGTTGGATGGTGAAGTGAAGCAGGGATGTCTCTGCCAGAGACCACAGAGGTCCTCTGTTTGATCTGAGTGTCTGTTCCACAGGCCAGTGAGGATCTCAGACCTTAGTGTGCAGGAGTAAGGCTCAGGAACTGAGCTTGCAGTGCTACCAGCATGTTGAGATGTTCTGGCTGGAGCTCATACCACACTGGAAGGCTCCTTTAAGTAACCAAGCACCCAGAATAGCCTGTCCTAAAAATCGGGGTGGTGTTTAGTATGCAAAAGGGTTGCTTTGCACTGGGTAGCTTGTGTTGTTCCATATGCTGTAATTTGATCAGACTATTAAAGTTTCTAACAAAATTCCATGCCCTTGGCTTCAAGGTCAAAGCAAATGGGAACTGAGACATGGAGTGATAAAGGCAGGAAAAGCTTCCAGAGCTCTTTTTCCAAATGCAGGATCCATGTCTGGTAGGACAGAGGGAGGAAACATCTAGGCCTTTTTTCCTGATAAGACGTGGGAAGATGGTGAAACAGAGTTAGACATTTCTTTTGGATACAAGTTTCTCATTAGAGGTTTTTTTTCTATGTTTTTGATTGCTACTTTTGGGAGGTAGCTTAAAAATGTCCTGTCTTATCCTGGGCAGTAACTCTGGGAAGAAGTTACAGCCAGCAGCTCTGAAAACGTTCACTAGCTTTGTTTGCCCTCATTCCCAATAAATCTTTGTCATTGGTTGTAAATTCCTTGTGGGTAAAAATCCATCCCCTTTCATCCCTGTACCACTTATTTAAGTCACCAGTTCTCCTGTCCCATGTTCTAGGAACCAGAGAACATGTTCATGTGGTGGTCAACTCACATGCAGCCCCAAAAAGCTGAGCTTTTGTGAACAGTCTTGACAATTCATTTTCTCTGTTGAACTGGAAGTATATCCAGGCTTTTCACAATAGTATCTGGTGAGACAAACTCTCTTGGATTTTAAACTGCAACAGAAAATAATCCAGGCTTTTCACAATAGTATCTGGTGAGATATCTTGGATTTTAAACTGCAACAGAAAATGTTTTTATTTGTTGCTGGTTTAGTTTGTTTTCCCTTTGGCTGTAATTCTTTAGGCAGCTTTAATTTAAACAAACCTGGAGGGGGAAAAGCCTCAAAAGGTGTTGTGGCTTGGTATAGTAGGAGGCACTAAATGGAGGCACAGCAGAAGAGGCAGGGAAAACAGATTTGGAAGGAAATGCAGGTTTAGTCCTTACATTATTACATACACAGCATTGTAGGAGCAGGAAATCTCCTGGTGTGTGCTGCTCTGGGTGCAGCCTGGCCTTGGCTTCCTGGTAGGCTTCAGTAACATGAGATTGTGGCATGGAAAAATCTCAAAGTTGGATTTTAGGGCAGAACCTGGGCTGATGGTGAAGGCTTAGTTGGCAAAAGGGCATCTTATGGCTTAATGAAGCTGTTTCTAAGCCAGCTTGGCCTGACAATATGAGGGTACAGACCTGCAGCCAGCACAGAGCTGGGCCAGCTGCACACAGTCCACCTGTAGCACCCCTGGCATTCAGAGAGGGGTGAGCCTGTCAGAAGGGCTCCCACCTCCCTCAGGGCCTGTGTCAGGATCTCTCACTTCTCCTTTCAGGGCAAGGGATGTAATACTCCTGGTAAAGGTAGTTCCAAAAATTCATGATATTTAAGTATTCCCAGGTGCAAACGTGGACTGTTCTGTGTTCCCTCCCTCAGCCTCTCTGTCCAAAGGAGCTCTGGCACTTTGTCCACCAGTGTTATGGGAACGAGCTGGGTCTGACCAGTGATGATGAAGACTACGTGCCTCCTGATGATGACTTCAACACAATGGGGTGAGTGAGGAGGAGTAAAATCTGCCTGTGATGAAGAAATCTGGCCTTGGGAGAAAGGACTCCTGATACACTACATACCTTAAACTGCTGTTTGTCTCTGGTGAGAGATTCTGGGCTGAATGTTTGTCCTTTAATGAGTAATGTCTAAAAAGCTGGAAGTGTTATCATTCCCTCAGGGAAATCAGGAGGCACTGAAATGCCTGCCTCTCTACTTGCTGAGCTAGATGAGTAATTCTAATGACAAAGCCTCATGGTCCCAAGGCCAGTCAGCATGGTGCATGGTTAGAAAGTTCTGGTGTTTTGTCAGTCTGTGTATAAGCACTTGAGAGGTTTGGGCTTGATCTTCCCAGCACTGAGCCAGTTTTGCATCCAGCCAGACTGGAAACTTCACAGAAGGCTTCTGACTTGCTCTGTGTGTCCAGTTGTAGCTGTACTGAGAGGGGTAAATATAAAAACCTGTGTTCTCTGTGGCGTCTCAGCTACTGTGAAGAAATCCCTGTGGAGGAGAATGAAGTCAATGACAGCTCCTCAAAAAGCAGCATGGAGGCCAAGCCAGAAGCTAGTCCTCAGCTGCCAAAGAAATCTGTCACTGCCAGCACCTTGACATCCACGGGGAGCAGTGAAGCACCAGCCTCGGTACGTGTTCTCCTTGGCTGCAGTGGGAGCAGGAATCCTTTTCTCTGGGATCCAGCTGGTAGTCCTGGAGTGTAGGAGGTACCTGTTTACCCTGCAGCTTCTCTTCCACTGGGGCTGACCACAGTCCTCGAGTCAGTGAGATGTGAGCATGGCATTTGCCCAGGAAAAATGTGAGCAAAGTGTGCCTGTCCTAAAAGCCAGTAAACTGGGACTCTCAGCACCAAGGACATTTTCCTGTCTATATTTTTCAAGGAAAGAAAAATAAGTGCTGGAGATGCTTAGAATTTCCTCTCTGCCTTCAGTTATGCCCCAGGAAACAGTGTGTGCCCTCCCTCCCAGTATTAGAGCAGAGCAGGACTTGTCTAGATAAAACCTCAGATTTTCCTAGTTGTACTGGGCTTGTTCAGGGGCAAACCCAATACTGTCTGTGTGCTTGTCTGAACAAACAAAAAGCCTGTGTATGTCCCAGGCTTGAACTGGATGTGGTTCTTTGAGAGAAGGTGATCAAATATGCCCAAGTGTTTTACAAACACCATATTATTATCTTCCTCCTCTCTGTATTATTGAATTTCCAGACATGTCAAGGGCAAATATTCAAGGGTGTGAGACTAGGCCCACAGTGGTAAAGAAGTATCTCCCAATTTCCAGGTGCTGATCTTGCCTCATTATGCTCTCCCCTTGCTGCAGTTTGATGGAGGGCTACCAGAAGAGGAGGAGGCAGTGGCAGAGAGTCCTGTGGAAAAAGACCTTGGCATTGCTAATATCATGGGAGAGAAGATAGAGATCATTGGCCCTGTGAACTCCCCTTCCCTTGACTTCAATGACAACGAAGACATTCCCACTGAGCTCAGTGACTCCTCAGAGACCCATGATGAAGGTATGCAGGGAAGGGCCCTTCTCCCAGTCATGTTTTCAGCCTTCTCCTATCCTTGCCAGTGAAGGACTGGAGCAGCAAATATTGAATTCCTTTTCTGGGCCCTAAGAGTTCAGAAGATGCAAACAATTCCCATCCAATGTGTTGGGATACTTGGAAGGATGTCCCTAAAGTAATCTATGACACTATTGTCTTGGGGGCAGTGGAGGAAAAGGGTTAGAAGTATCTCCCTGGGGTTCCTTCTTCACCAAGTAAAATAACTAAGGTCCTGGTACTTTTGAGATTGGCACAGACGGTCCTGGCTGGGGCTTGAGGGCCTGTTTTCCCACAGGGGAAGTCCAAGCCTTTTACGAGGACCTGAACGGCCGTCAGTACGTGAATGAAGTGTTCAACTTCAGCGTGGACAAACTGTATGACCTGCTCTTCACAGACTCCCAGTTCCAGAGGGACTTCATGGAACAGCGCCGGTTCTCTGGTGAGCTGCTGCTGGGAAGGGCTGGTCCCTGCTGGGAACACACACACCTGTGTCTTGGCACACGCCTCGGAGGTGTGACCTTGCCTAGTGATACTGCAGTCTGTCCTGCTGGGAAACAGCAGGCAGAGCCACCCTGGTGTGGCTGCCTAGTTTTATTTTCTATGAGCTGGATCTAAGTTTATTGAAGAAACAGAGTCTTTCATTTTTTAACATCAGCTAAGGCCTGATGCTGTGTTCAAGGCTCAACAGTGTGAGAAAAAAGCTGTTATAGGTCCTCACCAGACACTGGCACAGGCTGTGCAGTTGTCAATGCAAAGGGTGTCCCTTGGCACACTTCAGTCCTCTCCCTGTAGCTGTAGGGCTGCTGAGGGAGGTGTGTCCCCAGCCCCTGCACTTGAAAGAGGGGAATGTGTTCACGTTTGGTACAGGAGACCTTTTCCCATTCCCAGTTGAGCTCTGGTGCTTCTGCAGCCAAGCTCCTCGAGGGGAAGGAAATCCTGTTCTGAGTTTAGTTATGTGGTGGTGCCTTTCCCTAGGGAATTGACTTGAGCTCCCTCTCCAATTACTTGAGCAGAACATTGTTTTGTCCTCTCAGATATTATCTTTCATCCCTGGAAGAAGGAAGAAAATGGCAATCAGACCAGAGTTATCTTATATACCATTACCCTCACCAACCCTCTGGCCCCCAAAACTGCCACTGTCACAGAGACACAGGTATGTGAAAGGGGAGCAGAGTGCAATGCTTTGCAGAAACAACCCTCTGATTTATTCTCCTGCCTTGGGCATGTTGCTTTGCACGTTTCATTCTCCCTTTCCGTTTTCCTTTACACGTTTTCCATGTATTAACTTGCCACCCAGTGCCACTGCAAATGAGAACAGCTCATCTGACACTCACGCTGGATTGCAGTGCAAGAAAGGACCATCAGTTTTCTAGCAAAAGCAGACGAGTTTGTAAACAAACCAGCGTATTTTAACAACTGTGTTTGTCTCCCATACTGGTATTTTTTTGAGCTGTGGTGAGTCCAGCAGATGTTATTCATGAGCAGGGCACAAGAAGCCAGATACTGCCTGGCCAGTCCTTCTCACAGCTCCACAAAGAGATGTCCAGGTTTTTTTACTGGTGGGGACAATTAGATGACATGTTTAAAATGCAAAAACCCATTTGCAGTGCACTGGGAAGAGCCAGGCTACCTGTATCTAGTAGGGCTGCAGCTAGAGAGGGAGAAAAAGCCTCCCTCTGTGTCCAGAGATCTGTTCAAGTGGCCAAAAGTAAATACTGAGAGTCAACTTGAGAGAATGCCAAGAAGAGATGGGGCAAGTGGCCAAAAGTAAATACTGAGAGTCAACTGGAGAGAATGCCAAGAAGGAGCCAAGAAGAGATGGGGTGTCTGAGCTTTATGTTCAGGGAGAGGAGAATCCCAGCAGCAAGATGTGCCCTGTAAGGATGAGGTGAAGGGTGCTGGTCAGAAGCAGAGACTGTGCAGGGGAGACAGCAGAAAGGGCCAGGGAAAGTGATGGGCAAAGGGAACAGTGCACTTCTAGGCAGGCAAGGACATGGCCTATTTTATTCTGAGTTTGGGGTGAACCACCGAGGTGCATTTTGCTGTGTCCTTGCTGCAGAGGTAAGTGGAAACCCCTGCTTCTTGCACAGGGACCTACAGTTGTGTCTGTCCCCTTTGTGAGGCTCATTCTGGGGCAAAAAAAGATGCAGATTAGAAGCACTTAATGGAAGCAACTGACATGTTTTTACAGGGTTTAGAATAATTTACTCTAGAAAGGACCTCTGCTCAAAGCAGGTTCACCTCTGGTGGTAGATCAAGTTGCTCCCTGACAAGCCAGGCATCAGTTTAATGAGGTGACACCTGCAGAGGTTCCAAAGAACTGGTCCTCACCAGGCAGAGCATGTAACTGTGTCTCTGATACAAAATGCTGGAGGCTGAGCTGCTGGGGCTGAATGTCCCTTTTGAAATATGCCCTTGGGGAACAGCTGAGTGAAATGCTTGGTTTCCTCAGGTATTCCTTCCTTGAAAGGGGAGCTGGTGATGGAAAAATGGCAGAGGTGTGGGCATGGGTGTGGACTCTTGTCTGTGGTAGAGCAGTTTTAACAAGTGCTAGTGAAGGTGCCAATCTATCCAAGCTGTGTTCTAACCAGACTAATAGTTGCCTTGCATGCTGTCTTTTATGCAGACAATGTACAAAGCCAGCCAAGAAAGCGAGTGCTATGTGATAGATGCAGAGGTGCTAACTCACGACGTCCCCTACCATGATTATTTCTACACCATTAACCGCTACACGTTGACTCGTGTTGCCAGAAACAAAAGCCGACTCAGGTACATTCCTTGGGGCATAAAGAATTTTACTGACCACCAAAAGTCACCTTTGGGTGGGAATTCTGCTGTTGGGTGTGCTAGAGGGGGCTGGGGAGAACTTAGTTTTATTTCTTTGTCCTGTTGGGAGTTATGGCTGGGCCAGGGGGAGGATTTACAAACCTCTCTTGCCCCCTTCATGGAAGCAGTGGTTGGCAGGGCTGGTTGCCACACACAGCCAGCTACATGTGATAAGCAACAGGACGTATGTCCAGGGTTTGTGCCTCTGAGGTGCACCTAGGGGGGCAAGCAGGGGAAATTTGGTAGCAGGCAAAGCTGTAGGCTTTTGTTTTTGACTTCATTAAGTAATTAAATGTCTCTCTGCCGTGTGGCCAGAGGTCTCAGGGTCCTCCTGGGGCAGGCTCTCTGGAGGCCTTCCCACCACTGCCTTTGTCATGCAATGCTTCTCCTCAAGAAACACAAAGGGCTGAGACCATTCCAGAAATAACAGTGTGCACGATTATTTCTTATATTTACCTTGACAAAGGACTGGGATTTTACATCACCTCCAGGAAGCAAAACCGGGAGAATAGCTTTCCTTTCTTCACGCAGGGTTTCCACAGAGTTACGTTACAGGAAACAGCCTTGGGGACTGGTGAAATCCTTCATTGAGAAGAATTTCTGGAGTGGCCTAGAAGATTATTTCCGTCATTTGGGTAAGAGTGGCAATGACCAGAGCTGCAGTGCTGACCCACAGGCAGGGGCACCTGCCAGAGCTGATGCCTCCCTCTGTGCAAGCAGGCAGTGTGGCAATGTGACACTGCTGGGCATCACAGCTCTGAGAGGCATGGAAAAGGGGACGGCCAAAGTTATGACCACAGCACTGGAATGAACCAGGTCATCACATCCTGCTCTCTGGTGGGAGCACAGCCAGTCTGGGCTCTGAGTTTGGCAAAAGGTATAAGGGATGTGTAGTGTGTCCTCTCCTGCCAACTTGTTTGGCTCAGCAGCTGTGCCACGAGAGGGCTTCAGTCTGTCTCTACAAGGGCAGTACCACTTCTATTAAATGCTTTCCCCTGCTTGCTCTGCAGAGAGTGAACTGACCAAAACTGAGAGCACGTACCTGGCTGAGGTCCACAGACAATCCCCAAAAGAGAAGGTGAGCAAACAATCGACCGTGCGCCGGAGGAAACGGGCCCATGCCCACCTGCGGGTGCCACACCTGGAGGAGGTGCTGAGCCCTGTCACCACCCCCACGGATGAAGAGGTTGCACATCGAATCAAGCATGTGGCAGGTGAGGAGCTGCAGACCTCTCATGGTTTGGGGCTGGAAAGCTGGGTACCTCTGGAATAAAACTGGAGCTTTTCTTGCAGAGGGTTAGTGGGAAGAGGAACCAGGGCTTCCCGGGGCTGGGAGGCTGCGTGGTGATGGAGGGATCACAGGATCTTAGGGGTTGGGAGGGACCACAACAGATCATCTAGTCAATGGATGGGATGGGGAAAGGGCATTTCTGAGCCTGAACACACCTTATCTCCTCAGGTTCCACTCAGACACGGCACATCCCTGAGGAGAGCCCCAGTGGCTTCCACCTGCAGAGTGTCTCCAAGCTGCTCCTGGTCATCAGTTTTGTGTAAGTGATTTTTGTTCCTTTCCTTCACAATCAGCATTTAACAGCTTTGGTCCATATTTCTGGTGATCTGTGCTCTCCTGTGCCAGCTTTTTCTCTCTTGTATTTCTCTCTGGTCCCAAACTTTGCACAGCACAGAGGAGAGAAAAGCAATGACAGGGAGAAAAGAATTCATTAAAATTTCCCCCAAATGCCCCATCAGCTGTTTTGTCTGGCTTGATCCCAGATGTTGTCAGTATTTAGCTGGCCACTGATCTGGCTCTGGATATTATTATTTTATCAAAGTCTCATTTCCTCTCAGTTTTGACCTTGTTTTAATGAAACATGGCTTTGCAGACCTGTGTGTTTCTGGGAGTCCCAGGTCAGCTGTCCTGCCTGGGACACAGCACCATGGGCAGTGGGAGGCAGAGCAAGGGGCAGCTGTGCAAGGAGAGGGGAGTCAGTACTTCCAAAAGAAATAATCCAACAAGTTGAAAGAGTCTTATTTAGTTCAGGGGCTCAGTTTAGAGATTTTCAATGACATCTAGAAACTGTGGGTTTGTTGGTTGTTGGTGGTTTTGTTTGTTTTGTTTTTTAAATTTAAAATAAATAATATAATCTGCTGACAAGGTACCTACTCTCATGAAAGATGACCATGGAAGCTCTCTGGGAGTCTCTGTGCCATCACACAGGGTTCAGGGCATATGAAGAGTCTGCTACTTCTTTCCACTGGTCTGACAAATCCTTTTTGGGTTGGTCCTGGGTGGTGATTTTGATGAGATACCATCTCAGAAAGAAACTGGATGGTTTAGAAATGCTTTCTGCAAAATAAGGGTAGAAATACATGAAGCAAGAGAGATTGGCATGATTTCACTAGTTCAGCAGTAAGGACTATGTTTGGTTTGGGTCCCTTTTCTGCCAACATCTGTCACAATTGCTGGTCTTGGACTTGTCTGGTTGTTCTCTCAAAGTGAGCTGGGGATGGGCCCCTCAGACCCCTGTGGCTCAGGCTTTATGCCTGCACCCTGGGCTGTGAGACTGTTTCCCTGCCTCTTGGGCTGGTGGGAGCTGTCAAGTGTGGGTGCTGCAGTGGTTGCAGGGCAGGTGCTGTGAAGCAGGACAGTCCTAGAGGAGCAATCCGGGTTTTTCTCAGCACTGAGGGAACTGGAAACATTCTGCTGAGCCTGAAGGAACAACAGAACTTGGCTCATTCTTTTCTTATGCTCCACTCACCTTTTAGCGAGGTGGGATGAAGCTGAGATTTGTAGACTGAGCTTCCTTTTCAAATTGAGCCCATTTCTGCATTTCCTTTCCCCAGTGAGGATAAGGTCTGCAGAGTTTGGAGCAGCAGCCCAGCTCATTGCTGTATTGAGCAGTAGGGTAATGGAAAGTAATGCAATGAGAAGAGAGCCTGGTGCTGTCATCCAGATCTAGAGAGGTGAGATGCAATTAAAACTTGGGGCAGCAAGACACAAAAACTTCATTACATCTGTCCTGACAGGCTGCTAGCTTAGCTGAGAGAGTCCTCCATGGTGTTTTCAGCATCCTCTTCTGGCCAGTTGCCATCCTCCTGACTCAACTGGGTGATAGGGGGCCATTCTTCCAGCAAAACAGCTGCACTATTCAGAGACAGGCACGAGCATGTTATTTAAGAATCTGCTCCCTGAGTGTGGCTGAGGGGAGGAGCAGAAGGGCCCAGGGTGATGGGGCACGAGGCAGGGTAGAGTGTTTGGGCCAGGCCTGGGTCTGCAGGGCAGCCTGCCTGGGGCTCCCAGCCCTGGGGCAGCAGGAGGGGCTGAGGCTGGAGATGTGCAGGCTCACCCTGCTTTGGGCTTGGCCACAAGAGCTACACACGGCTCATCTTCTGCTGAGCCAATGTCACTGTGAATTGTAGGCACACAGTTCCTCTTGCCTCTCTTCCCACTGTTCCTTCCTTCCCTCCTCCCCCCATATTTCTTCTGCACTGTCTGTGAGCCTCCTCTGCTCAGCCTGGTTTCTCCTGTTCTGTGTCAGTCTGTTTCTAACCTGCAGCTACTCCGTCTTTTTTCTTCCCTGCTCCCATTAGGATCTGTTTCAGGTACTGTCTCTCTCTTTTTGCCTCTTTGCTCTCCTGTTTCCCTCCCTTTCTCTGCATTTGGCACATCTACTCATCCAACCTGTTCTGATCTGTCATCTTTCTGTCTGTCCATCCTCCTTGCTCACACATTTTTCCCATGCAGAGAAGTTTTGAGCTCTGATCACTCAGCCCTTACTCAGAGTAAATTCCCACTCAGCGTGGACCTGGGTCCCAGATACCTTCTTAAAGCCTCAGGCATTTTCCCAGGTGTGATTGGCAGGCAATGGGCTATGAAGTGCTCCTGGTGAACTGACTCTTCTCTTTATTTGCAGTCTGGTGCTGCTGGTCATTCTCAATATGATGCTGTTCTACAAGCTCTGGATGTTGGAATACACTACGCAGACACTCACGGCATGGCAGGGCCTGCGGCTCCAGGAGAGGTACTGTCACACCTGCCTTGCCTTTGCCTCTTCTTGCAAGTTTCCTGTCATTGTTAGAGGCTTTTGCAGAACACCTGGGCTCTCTTGTAGGTTGCTTCCTTTTCGTGTAGAACAGGTGAAGCAGGTAGGTAGCTGAAGTTGCGAGGCCATCAGCATTTCTAGGTCTGAAACTAAACAGCTGCAGAAGAGAGCAGGTGAAGGCAACCTCTGCTTCTTCCAGCACCCCATGGAACAGGGGATGCTGTATGATTTGAGTGTTTTGCCATCTTGAGCCAAGATTGCCATCTTCAGCCATCTTCTGATGGTTAAACCTGCCTCTGGATGAAAAGCAGTGTCTTTGAATGACCCTTTTATAGGAGAATTAGGGCCTTTTAGGTAACTGTTTGGAAAGGTGTGGGTCCAGGTTGTTGGAGAATGGGAGGAAGAGAGACACCACTAGGAGGACACAGGGCACTCCTTAATGGCCCAAGCATTCCCTGGTGGCACCAGCTGGGAAGCAGTCAAGTATGAGTGCAGAGTGACTTTGTTTCTGTAATGATTGGTAGCACTGAACCTGTTCCAAGGCTTTTTGGACACTGCTTCAGCATAGTGTCCACTTAGTGTGTGCTGAGGTGCATAGAGCTCTGGGCTGGATGGCAGCCTCCAACCAGACTGATTTTATTGCTGGGATTGGTCTTTTTTTATATCAAGTCCCCCATCTTGTCTAGGCTCAAAGGCAGACCTGCCTGTCTGCACTTCCCAGGATGTGCTCCAGAGCACTTTTTTTCTTTTGTAGATGGCCTTTGCAGTGGTGACCTGATTTCCTCTAGTGGTTTGTTTATAATGATAGCCAGGAATTCTGTTTAAAATTCCTTCTGGCATCTTTAGGTGAATGCTTTTATGTACTTAAGTGCTAAGTATCCTGCCTGAGTAGTGTCTCTTGTTTTCAGAGGTTGAAAACAGCCAGAGTCCCCTTTGTTAAGATGTTTTTGTCCCTTTCTGGCTGTACTTCTGTGCAGAGTTCTTCCCTTGCTAACTTAGGTTTGACTTGGCTTTTTTTGCATGGTTTATCTCATGTTAAGGACTTCCACATTTCTCCTCATTAGGGAAGAGAATCATTATTCACCCCATAACAGCTCTGCTACTTTCTCATGGATGGATCCATGTGGTGATTTTTGCCTGCCTTGTCTTCCTCTGGCACTCTTGACATTTATTTAGACCACTACTATATAGTATTTCAGTACAGGACTTGTGTGCTGTCTGTCTGCTTCTCATAGTGGAGAATCTTACTGGAATAGGATGTGGTTGCTCTGTTCCCTGCCCAGGTAACTTTGTGTTGTTGCTGTGGTTGCTGTGGAAGCAAACAGAACCCACCTGCTGGCTCAAGGCTGGCTGTGCTCAGGAGTTTTCCACTGGAGCTGTGAAGACATTGCTTCCATTTCTGGTTCCACTGAGACTTCAGTTCTCTGTGGGCAGGGACCAGCCCCAGTCCCCCAAACTAAGTGTACATAGACAGGAAAGCAGTCTTTAGTAGTAGTAGTAGAAGAGTAGGGTTATTGACCATAGGGAGTGGGGCCATCCTTTTAATTTGTATTGGTTTTCAACTCTCATGCTTAGTTAACAGTGCTTTGTTTTATCTGCAGGTCTGGAGCCAGCTGAGCAGGACCCACGGGAGGACTCAAGGTGCTGATGGAGCATCACCAGCTCTGGCTGCCCCAAGTTGATGGGTGAAGGGCCCCAGGCAGGTGAGGAGGTGGAACCTGGCTGGGCCAAGGTGAGGACAAAGCCCAGGGCAGCAGAGCAAGGGCAGTTAGCAAGGTGGCCCACTCTGCCCAGTTTTCCTGAGAGGTAAGAGAGGAACCAATTAGACTGTTACATTGCCAGGGAGTGGGAGTTGTAGCTCCCACTAGCACAGGGGAAGCTAGAAAAAAGCAGAGGACAAAGCAGAAAAGCCTTTTAGCTGTCTTAGGAAATAGCTAAATCTTTTCTACTTTGTCTTCCATTTGCTTCCTTGGACTTTGCTATCATAGGTAAGGCCAAAGAAGCAGGCAAGACTTTTGGCTATCTTGGCTATAGCAGGAAAGCCTTTTAGTTATCTTAGAAAGTAGCAAAGCCCAAGGAAGCAAGCAGAAAAGACTTGGCTATCACAGGAAGCAGCAAACCTCAGAGAGGTAGGCAAACCTTCTGACTAACTTAGAAAGCAGAAAAGCTTTTTACCTGTCTTAACTGTGGACTGAAAGGAAGAGCCTTACCTCTCAGGAGAACTGGGCAGAGTGGTGTGCCTTGCTCCTGCCCTTGCTAACTGCCATTGACTCCACTTCTGTCACTCTGCTCCCCTGGGCTTTATCCTCACCTTGGCCCAGCCAGGCTCCACTTCCTCACCAGGCTGACCAGTGGCACCTGCCTGGGGCCCCTCACATGGGCCTTAGTGACAGCTTGGGGCAACCAGAGCTTGGTGATGCTCCTGTTGGCACCTTAAGAGTCCTTCCATCTAGCCCAATTCTGCTCCACTCAGCAGCCTCCAGCCCTGCTCTGAGGATTAACTGGGCCTGAAGGGAGGGGATTGATACCTGCACACACCTGCCATTAACAAAGAGAGCCAGTGCTACTATTCCTTGTAATAAAGAGAAAGCCTTGTATTAAATATAGGCTGACACAGCATGCCTGGACCAAACCAAGCACAGGAACTGCACTGAGGTACCTGTCCCACACCATTCTGTTCTGTTGTGCTGCATTATTCCCATCAGTGGCCACAGGGCCATCATCATTCAGCACACAGGTCTCCCAGCAAAGAGCACACTGCCTTCTCCTCTGGCACATGGGTGTTCAGTTCCACCTACAACTTCCACAAACTTCCACAGACTTCTACAACTCACATCTTTGCTTTTAGTTACCATGGTTAAGACACAGTAGCATTGCTAACCTACTAAGCACCTTTAAATGCATATTTTCTCAAGAAAATCTGCCCCTTTGGGGTGTAAAAATTAGGCAGACACCAGTACAATCTACACACCCCTTGACTTCAGTTTCCTTAGATTCACTTTCACTCATATTCTGCCTGACAGGTTACCCCAGTCTCAGACAGAATGGGCCCAGTTACTAGAATCCCAGCAGAAGTACCACGACTCCGAGCTCCAGAAATGGCGCGAGATCATCAAATCCTCCGTGATGCTTCTAGACCAGGTGAGCTCATGTGGCTGGTTAGTGCTGTGACTAGAGGGTCCCCCTGTCCTCCCAGCCACCCACTCACACTCCTTCAGCCTTACCTGGTTCCACTGCAGTCTACCAGGTGTGTCACCTCTGCTGCTGCCAGATCCCTCCTCTGATGCAGTGGTGGGCAGCAGATCCCAAGGGCTGCTTGCAGGCTGCAGCTTCTCTGTCACCTCAAAGGGCTCCACACACATCAAGGAGAGAAACCTACAGGCCAAACCCTTGTATTAGCACACCTTCTATCTAGTCTCTGACATCTCAGTTTGGAAAGCAAACTGTTTTACCTTCACCCTCATTTCATAAGAGCTGGTGTGGATGAAGGGCACACGCTTTGTGTGAGCCCTGAGGAGCACAAATCCAGGGGCTCCTGCTGCCTAAAGAGCTGGTTGTACACCAGGCTGCTCAGAACAGAGGTTATATGTGAAAGCTGTTCTCCCCTAAGGCGAGGGCTGTTCACCCTCTACCTCCTCCTGCTCAGCCCTTCTCTGTTACCTTGGAGAATGGTCTCACAGGCTCCCATCTTCTCAGTCCCCACTTGTACATCCCAGCCCTGACGAGCTGCTCCTGAAAGACAGATAATTGTGGTACCCATGCTTTACATGAAGGAGAAAGCACTGGTGGGGAAGGAAACTCCTGAAGTGCTGTCACCTGTAGGGTAGTGTCACAGTGGAGACATTTCTTGTCTTGCAGATGAAGGATTCACTAATAAATCTTCAGAATGGCATCGGGTCCCGGGACTTCGGGTCAGATCCAGAGGAGAAACGGAAACGTTTCCACTGACAGGCAGTAATGCAGGAGGCCAGAGGACGGTGTGCAATATGTGTAAATAGGATCTATAAATATATATATAAAATATATATATATACAGAATATAAATATATATATTATATACAGATTTTAAGAGAAAACAAACAAACAAAAAAAAGCCTATGTATCAAGAGGAAGGATTGACCTCCAAACACTGGCTGAAACGGAGGGTTCTCAGTGGCAGCGTGGGGTGTGTGTGTGTGGGAGGGCTGTGCTCTCCTGGCACTGAGGTGCACTGAGGGGGTGCTGAGGTGTGCTCCCCCAGCCCCTGCACCACTTCTGTACTATTCCTGGCTGTTTGTCTGTCTGTTTTGTTTTTGTTGTTTCAAAGGGAAGCATCAGAGTGAGTGGCCCCTCCCCCCTCCCCCCGGCCCCCG